GGTAACTGATGGATTGGTGGAAGTGGTTTATTTTAAGATTGTGTTTTGAAGGGCTGCAGGGTGCCCAGAACCTGCAATGGTTGTCTTATTGTAGAATAGTACAAATTTAAATAAATGAGAGGAGGAGCTGAAGAAATCCAGTAGAACATTGACTTTATGCAATAGCCTTTTTTTTCTCTGGAAACTTGGGCTGAAAATCTGCTTTCGTCCCAAATGAATCGAGTTTGGTGGTCTAGTCTAGTCAACACTGAACATTTGCCAATATCTCAGAGAATGACATTCAACCTGGTTTGCAGGTTCTATTTCACTTCTGATATAAGACCAGGCCTGCAAGGGTGAAAGGATAAGATTGAAAGGTTGCAGAAAGTGGCTATTTTTAAAGAACATTTTACATAGAATAATTCAGGCTTCATTATACATAAAAAGGTTACCATAGGAACCTGGCAGCTATGCTATAATTAAAGATGAGTTCTTATTCATTCCTATTATAAATTCCAGTTTTCAGCATTTTATCATCTCGGCTATTTTGATTCCCAAGGTTCTATTATACTTGTTATATTTGGCCCAAATTCTTTATTTTTAAAATGGCATTAAAGCAATGTTGAGTTTTGGAGTGCTAATAAATATTATTTGGACTTAGTTTGTGGTGTTCTCCCCTCTAAGCTTCCCCAAACCCTACACTTATCAAATTCAATATATTTGCTGCTGGACTGTCTTGTTCACAGTGCAGGCTCCCTTCACTGGAAAATAGGCTGCCTTAAATGTGATTATCCCTCTTGTTTCAAATGAGTACTTTGTATTTTATGAAGTTGGCTCTATTGTTTCCTCCTCATTTGTTTCATCTCTTGTCTTTTATGATCTAATCTATAACTCTTTGATCCACTGTTTCTGCCATCAAACTATAATTGACAAGTTGACTTTTATTTTTTTGAGTTTTTCTTTAGCAATGATATTTCTTAACGATGGAAAAGAACAATCCCTGTCAACTATTCTTGAGTGGTTTTGAGCAATCTTATTTTTGAGTGCTTCAGATTACTGTATCCTTCCCTCCCCCCACCCCTTCTCTTCTGGACAGCCTAAAAGATCTCACAAGTAACGACTTGTCTAGGGGGTAGTTTAAAATGGATTGATTAGACATGCATTATTTAACTTGCAGTATGTAAGCCGCACTTTCAGCCTGTGTTATTGTGTACACACAGAGGCAGCTTACTGAGTACTAAGCATATGACATTCTCTAGAGCATCCCATGGCTATTTTTTTCGCTACTCAGCTGTGTGCATTTTGGGATTTTTCTTGCTCTGCATTGTGGGATGCATAGCAGAAGCCAGGCAGGTTTCCACGGGCTTCACCCCATGCTTCCTTTCTGATTGAGCTAGCTCTGTTTTTGAATTGCTGTCAGCCAGCATGGACCCAACAATGCTCAGCAATACTACACTGGCAACTCAGAATAGGTAGAGGCTGCTTGGGCTGTATTTCAGCACTCAAAGCTGGACGAATTCAGAGATTTGAGCTGGCAAATGGTGTCTGGGTGCAAGGGGGTTCACCCGGCAGGACAGACGTGGGAAGAGGAAACGAAAATAGGTGGGTGGGCACGGTGTCCTCCATGGCATGGGCCTAGATTTCTGGCCAGGAATTGGGCTCTGTTGCTCGCATCAAGATCCTCTGTCCCAAAGAGATCCTGGTTTTCTGGGGACAGCTCTTCACTGACCTCCTCATGCTCATCATCCAATGAATCTTACTGATCATCCTTTGGGTGGTGCGGGAGGTTAGCAGAGTGGGCAGCAGCATCCACAACCTTCCTGGGTTGGGCAGTAGGGTAATTGATCAAAATCTTGTCCAGCTCCTGAAAAAAGTCCACAGGTCACATTTCCCCTGCCAAATTTTTTCCTGGCATCCCCAGTTTGAATGTAAATCCTCCTGAGCAGCTTGCTCTTTATCCTGCACTCGTCAGCATCCCAGTTGTGGCCCCTTGCAGTCATATCCATAGAAAGATCCTTATTCCGGTGGCTGGCCATAAGAGCTTCCCACCCCAACACCCCTCCCCACCTGGGTATAACTAACAGCTAACTTTGAGTCTTGGTATCTCTTACAATCCAGTGTATCGCCAATAAACACCACAAAAGAGTCACTGGTATTCACCTGATGTTAGTGTAGTGGGTAGTGGATTGAATGGGCAGTTTGGAGAGCTTCAGCTAGAGGTGGACTGAAGCCCATGCATACGCCCATAGTAATGATTATGCTTCTTTTTAAAGGAGAAGATGAAGCACTTCTTATTGCTTGTGTCTATGGCCTTGCTCACAACAGGTGAGTTTTCATTCACTGCATAACTCATCCATTTACAAACAGTAAAAAATGGTAATAAATTATTTAAGTATGATCATTCCATGCCCAAAGAACTGTCTGTATTAACTCATGGCAGGAGAGACTATGCAAAAACTTTAAAAAGAGAGAGCTTCAACACATTTATTCTTTCCATATTTGTTTTACATTCTTGCTGTTAATTTTATCCTATATTATCTTCCAGATTCTTCTGATTGCTTGGAATCTGATCTTCCATTTTGCAAGCAAGTTCCAGGTAAATAACTCTCTTTAGGCAGTAGCCAGTTAAGGATGGGCCCCACTTGTGAAGGAAGTGCCACAGTTGAAGTGATTGGATAATCAATTTGGGTTTGAAATATTCATTAGAGTAAAGTTTTTTGGCTGCAATCCAATCTCCAGTGGATAGGGATTTCTGAAAGTAGCACCAGCAGTTTCTTCAGAGCATGAACCTTTACTCATTGGTGTCCCACTGCAATCAATGAATGAATTCAAGGGTACGGAGCAGAGGGCTTTACTTGGAAAGATTAACTTTTTATGTTTGCAGATTTAGTGAAAAGCAGAGACATTCTTGCCATTGAAATGGTGATGTATAACAACCAAGCATTGCTATTGTATGGATACAACCAATCCATGCAAACATGCAGCTACTCCAGGCAATGGAGTCTATAGCAATGGGGCCAGCAAGCATGACAATGTTAAAAGCTGAAGATTTTAGAATATTTGATAGAGAAAGACAGTGCTTCTGCATCTACTGACAAGTGATTGATATCTCATTATCACAGCAATCAAAACAGTCTAATTTAGAGAGAGACTATTTTCACCACAATTGTTGGAACAACTGACATGCTGCTGTTATTAATGTTACTGTCACATCTCTAAGCCTTCATCATGGACCAGGACCCTATTGTGCTAGACATTGCAAAAACAGAACAAAAAGATGGTCCCTTCCCCAAAATGCTTATGCTGTAGCTAGAAGATGAGACAACAGATGGGGAGTGCAAGGAATCAGCATGAAAGGCAGTTGTCTCATCACCCCAGCTTAACCATTGTCCATTTTTTTTGGTAGGCATCGTGGCAAAGGAGAATTTTGAGGAGGATAATGTGGTAGCTGTAGAGATGTTTACAGGGAGCTCCACCCAGCTGCAAGAAGCAGTGCGGGAGAAAGCACAAAAGTGCTTGTTTGAAAATAAGTGGCCAATGGAGACTGGCATCAAGGGTCAATCTGAGGCAGGAGTCAACAGCTTGATAGTGAATGACACACAATAGGTAGGGTGGGCATTGGCTGTGAAGGGACTTGAAAATGAAGACTATTAGCTTATTTTGGTTCCCCCTTCTCTCTTACCTCAATGGAGAGACGTGACATGGTCAAAACGCTGAGCTAGGAAAATGATCTTTGCAGCAGAATTCTGAATGGGTGTGAATGGGGGTAAAATTGCATTTGTCAAGGGCAGAGAGAAGGATGTTGCAATAACTGAGGTGCAATATGATGATGCAATAGGGAAGAGGGAGCCAGTGTATGAGAGTTTTAGCTGTGTGGATAGATAGGAAAGGTCGTATCATAGAGATGTTATGCAAGATTTTGATGTGGCCTGGATGCAAGGCCCTAGAGAGGTCCAAGTTGAAGAGGACACCCAGGTTACAGGCCTGAGTGACCACCACAGGATTGTAGAGTTGTCCACAGTGATTGAGAAAGGAAGTAGCAGAGAGGATTTGGGGGGTGAGGGGAGGATTAAGAGCTCTGCTGAAGCCATGTTTATCTTGAACTGACTGCTAGAGAGCCATAAGGAGCTGTCTGAGACACAGGCCAAGATTTTAGTTTGGACAGAAGGAGACAGAACTGGAGTAGAGAAGTAGTTTAGTGAGTTGTCTGCATAGCATTGGCAGTTGAATTTGGATCTGTGGATGAGATTACCCAGAGATAAGATGTAGAGTGAAAGGAGAAGGGGGATGAGGAACCAAGCAAGCCCTGTTGAACCCCCACAGACTGGGTCTGAGCTTTGGCTAGGAACCAGTCACTGAAGACTTTGGCAAGAGAGGTGTCGATGAACTGCAAGGGATGGAAGCCGAATTGAAGAGAGTCTACGTTGGAACTGAAGGAGAAGAACTCCAGACAGTGATTTTTAGAAAGTGTGTTCAATGAGCTTACAGATGAAAGGGAGATGGGGCAGTAGTTAGAGATAAGTGAGGTCAAGGGTGGGAGTTCTTTAAGATGGAAGAGACTAAAGCATGCTTGTATTGTGAGGGGAAAGAGACAGAGGAGAGCAAGAGGTCAAGGAGAAGAGGGAGGGAATGTGCCAAGGAGGTTTAGAGAGGGAATGGAGTCACTGGCGCATAGGAAGGGTTAGAGGAGGAGAACAGATGAGAAACTTCTGCATTAGTTACAGAAGAAAGGAGGCTGGAGTGGTAGGAAGGGAAGGAAAGGTCACACTGTATGTTGTCAATTTTCCCGTGGCAGAAATTGGCAAGATGTTGTGTGGCGAGAGAATTGGAGGCAGAACGATGGGAGGGGTTGAGGACAGTCAACGGTGGCCGTTGGGATTGCAGGCATGAGATTCAATTAAATTGGAGAAGTGAGCTGTTTACCAATGAAGAAGCAAAAGTGAAGGAGGAGAGAACAAATTGGTAGAAGAGGAAGTCAACCCTCTCACAGAATTTCTGCCAGAGTTGATCTGCAAAGCAAAAGCAGAAGTTGAGAAAGAAGACGTTGGAGGTGAGCCAGGAATGACTTTGCAATGGAAGGGAAGAGGAAAAAAATCAAGGACAGAGGAGCGTGAAGTACGGAGAAAGTCAACAACCATATCAACGGAGAAAAAAGGCACGGAGGAAAGGGCTGAAAGCAGACAGAAGTAATCAGTGCTGATGGATTAGAAGTAATGGAAAGGCCAAGTGACAGGGAATGAGAGAGGGGCTAATGGGTGATGTTGAAGACCAGGTGATGACTGGAGAGTGGAACTCAGCAACAGAGAGATCAGAAAGCAGTTCTTGGTGAATACAACATCAAATCAGTTTTGACTCACTTTGGTGAGTCACTTTTTGGTGAGTGGGAAACAGAGCAGCAGGTGAAATGAAGAAGTGAGGGAGAGGAAACTTGCAGCTAAGTGGCTGGATGGATCATCAATATGGAAGCTGAAGTCATGAAGGTAGGTCTGACTCAGGATGAGGAGTGTGAGAGAAGGAGAGTCCTCTGTAAGAGAGGGCAGCTCCAGAGGCCATGTCAGATGAAGGGATTCATGAGCTGGAGGGAAAAAGATGTGAAAAGGTCATGGATGGTTGCAATCTTTTTAGAGATGGAGTGGGCATTCCAGAGACAGCAGGAGGGGGGATGGGTGTGAGACTGGGAATGGTGGCACGAAAGAGGAAGAGGTGGTGATGGTGGTGGTGGGGATGGGTGTGGGTCGTGTGGAGGGGGCCAAGGTTGGGGCAAATGTCACCAGAGATGAGGAAGAGGCAGCAGAGGAGGATGTTGCTGTGAGATCTCCCCCCTCCTCCCACCAGCACAAATCCAGAAGTAGGTATATCCGGTAGGAACTACAGAGGAGTGGGGAAATGGAGTCAGGGGGAGGAAGGCGGACAAGGGATGCTGTGATTCAGAAGAGGCACCTGGCGAGAGCTGTGGCAGATGGATGAGAAAAAAGGCTATGGGAAAACATTGTGAAAATAATGCTACTGCAGCCCCCTCAGGCACATTGCCCTTCCCAGCTGGGGATGCAAGAGTAATCAGGCCAGGCTGCACCACTGGCGGTATTGGGATGACAGGCACAGCAGGAGTAGAGCAACCTGCTGGAACTTTCACAGCTGCCTCTCAGAAAGTTGGGTCGCTGAACAATTGTTTCAGCAAATAGGATTTTTCTGCCAATAAAAACAGTTCCAGCATAGAAGATGGACTCTGAGTACACAGTGTGCGCTGGGTGTGTCATTTTTGCTGCAATCAGCCACAGCTTTCCAGGCCACACATTTAATTCGGCATCTGCTGACTATAACGCTTATGAAAACATTGCTGAAAAATCTTGCTGACTAATAAAAAGAGGTTTCAAAGTGAAAAAACTGGGCCATTTCCCCTTTGTCTTTTCAAAAGAGATTAGATCTCTGGTGGGAGGAGATACAGTGAAATGAAACTAGAAGTAATTGGATGAAACTGTGCAAAGGAAAATTTAAGATCAATAAGGAAACACTTGATAATGGGGAGCTTTATTTGACTGTAGAATGAAGTGGTGGGAACATCATTGTTTGAATAAATGAAAACTGACCTGGTCAAGGTACTGAGGAATGTAATGTACAAACAGACCTGCATTAGCGGGGAGAGGGATCAGCTGAGCTAATAGGCCTTGTCCATCTCTATTTCCTATGTTTCCAAGTTGCTCATTATAGTGTAATCACCTGCAAACTGAAGGCATTTTTGTAAAGCCACCAGTAATAAGAGTCAGATGATCTCCTCCACTTGCACAAGCATAGGGAACTCTTCAACACTATGGCCAGTTCTTCCTGGACCCCATAAAAACCCCATATGCATCCAGGAAATTTTGGCTGGTGGGGTAAGGAGAAAGAGTTACTCTCTGCCCCTGAAAAGGTAACAGGTATCCACACTTAAATTAATGCAGCATTAATTCAGACTCCACAGAAGACCTTCTCTTGGGTAGGGGTGCAGGGGGTTTTGTGAAGGTGCAGCGTGCTTGACCATTGGCAGAGGAACAGATGCCAGCAAACAGCATGGAGGGGCTGGCTGTAGGATTCAAGCTTCCCTTCCCTGTGAAGCTTTAGGGCCACGGGAATTAAAGGCTGCACTCCCTCTCCACTTTGTGGTCCTAAAACTCCTTCTGACTGAAGGAACAGATGCCTGGGAATGTCACAAAGTCAAATTCATGGAGTTTTCCGGCTCCCTGCTCCTTCCCACAAGTTTCTCTGTGGGAGGGATGATCCAGAAATTTAAGATCGTGCTTCTGTAGGAAGAGTTTTCTAAAATACAGTGATGTGTCTCTGCTCTGTGCAGAAGAGAATAGAACTGATTCTTCTCTCATTTACTCCACTACAAATCAGAGTGCAACACCACAGAAGGCAGCAGTGCTCTACAGAGAGATTCTACTTACATTCAGTGTTTAACTTCCAAGTAATAAGATGCGTCTCAGACAGGGGTTTGGTTTTTTTTTAAATCTGTGCAAATGAGAAAATGAGATTTGTACAATGGGGATTTGACTACAGTTATCAGGAAAACAGAACTACAGTTGTATCTTCTACATTTCAAGATCCTTATCCTCGTCTCTAAAGTTAGTACATTTACATTTTATTTTGGTGTCTGTTTATAAACTAGGGCGTGGTACCCAGGAACATAATTTCTTAATTCCTGTGAATTCACAGTTCATACACTGAAAAGAAAAAAATGACTACAATTTCTAATACTTAAGATTTCTGAAATATTGCGGAAAATCCAGGGGACACTAAAGACTAAAAAAAAAGTTCCTTTAAAAATACTGTCAGTGTTTGACAAACTGTAAAAAACACTAAATAAATTTTAGGTTCTTGAGGAAAAAATTAATCATTTTGTATACCAAGCCTGTGGTCATATTATTTATTAACTGATAAGTAAGAAACTGACATTTCATCCAGTATGCTAACGTACTGTAGTCCTAGTTAGCCTATTATTCTGAATTAGAAAACATCACTGAAAAATAACTTCAAAAGTACACGATTCAGTAAATATATCTTCCAACGTTGGTCTCTTGCCTAATGTTACATGATGATGTAATGTATTAAAAGAAACTCCTACCCGTTTAAAGGTATGATCCTGAATTCCTTGTAGTATGGGAGTTTTGGGTACACAAGGAATTCAGGTCTGGGCCATTACTGTGTCAATTATCAGAAGCTCTGTGTTTTCTTTAGCTGATTGGAATTAGCTTCAACAAGGTTTAATACTGGATGAACCATTAACATGAAGAGGGATAATTCTCTAATGTTTCCAGCAAGTTACCTGAAATCAGAATGCCTAAACTTCTCAGCTCTGCTCCTGACTTCATTGCTACCTTGTACAGATAATTTAGGCTTATATTTTCAGAAGTGTCCACTAATTTTGCATGTTCAAGTATTTAGGTATCAAGTTAGACAAACAAACCACTGAAGCACCCCAAATCAGTGTCCGTTTTGAAAAACTTTGGTCTTAAGTTTTCCAATTCTTCCATTATTCATCTATACAATAGTCATAAACAATGCTTATCTACAACACAGGATGTCTGTGAATAAATTCATTAAATATTTGGAAAGTGCTTTGAGATCATTGGAAGAAAGATGCTTTAAAATAAGAGTTAAGCAAAAATATTCTGCAAATATTCACTTGATTTTTTAAAAACTTACTTTAAATGACAATAAAATAAAATTTGATCAGTCATTCTCAATTTCTGGATTGGGACTCAGAGCAGCTGTTTGTTCTTCAGGTTATCTGGATCTATATTGTTTATATCCTTAAAGCTCTTGATTGCATTAAGCAGACTATAGGCAACCAAAGGCCCTCAGGTAGTCATGTTGCCTCATTCTGCAAAAGCTGCAAATCTGCAAGTGGTTTTCTAAAGCAAAAAAAGTGTGTTGATATTGAGAATTCATGAAGATGTGAGTGCGGGTGGTGTGTTCCATGTGTAAAGGGACTCTTGCCCCCTTACTAACATTCAGTGTGGGTGTTTTGGTTGGCTAGCTCCCAGTAGTAAAAGGGGAAGGGTCTGTGGGAAATCAGGACCCTGAGACTGATAGTCCCCAGGAACGATGGGGAGAGGCCAATGTTCCAGGTCAGCCTGAATGACAGGGCAAGCAGGCTAATCAGGGAGTCAGGAGGCCAGGGAGGTCCCACCCTCTGTGTGAAATGGATTTGCCTGGGTCAGACAGAGTGGGGCCAAGCTAATCTGAGGAGCAGAGCTGTGCCAGATCCAGAGGGACCAGAAAAGCAGCCCAGAGAGAGCAGACCCTGTCCTGGGAGCAGAGCTGCAGCCCCAAAGCCAGAGGCACAGCCCAGAGAGAGCAGACTTGCCCTGGGAGGAGAGCTGCAGCAACCAGAGCCAGAGGGGCCAGAAAAGCAGCCCACGAAGCCGGTCAGTGCTGGGTGCAGAGTCACAGAAGCAGCCTGCAGAGCAGACCTGTCCTGGGACTGTGTGAATTGGTGTAGCAACCAGAGGCAGAGGGGCCAGAGAAGCAGCCCAGGGAGCTGGAGGCAGAGCAGCAGCGCTGAGACAGAGTGGTGGAGCTGGGGCTGGAGTGGTCCAGAGCTGGGTGTGGTGAGGAGAGCGAGGGGGACCCTGGGCAGCAGGCCCAGCACAGGGAGATGCCTCAGCCAAGAGGCTCTGCAGACCAGGCTTGGATCGTAACCCCGACAGGGCGGGGGCGACACTGGGAAGAAGGGTCCTACCGCTTAGAGCCTGAGAGCGTGTGGCCACCACCAGAGCAAGTGTCCAACCCACAGCATTCCTGCAGCACAGCCAGAGCCTGAGCAGGAGGCCTGGGACTTACAGGGAACAGACTGTGAACTGCCCGGACGTTCCAGAGACACTGTTTGTGATGTTCCCTGCCACAGAGCGGGTGGATGTGTTTCCTTTAACCTTTCCCATTTTTCCTTATTCTTTTTAAAATTAATTGTTGATTGAATAACTTGCATTTGCTTTAACTTGTATGTAATGGTCAGTGGGTCAGAGAAGTGCCCAGTGCAGAGAGTACCCCGGAGTGGGGACACTCTAGCCCCTGTACTAGGTGACCACAGCAAGGTTGGGGGTCGACCCCCCAGGAATCCTGGGCCCAGCCTTGTTGGGGTTACGAGGACTGTGCCAGACAGGAGAGTGGAAGGGGAGGGAGGCCACTGGGTAAAGGAAGTGGGAGCGAGGACTCAGATCCTTTCGCTAGCCCACTTCACCGGTGTAGTGCAGAAGCCAGTTCCCCACAATAGTGGGACTATTCCCCCGCTTACACGTCTTAAATAAAAGGTAATGGCTAAAACTTTTGGAGATTGTAAAAGCCAATCTTGACCTACTTCTGGCATCTAGATATCAGCTGTA